TGGTGCAGATATTCCTTGAAATTACACATTTCTTAAAATTGCCTTGCCAATTCTTATGTCACCCCATGCATTATCATAAGCCCTGGGTTTCAAATACATTCTAACGAGTCATCTTGTCCAGCTCTTCCCCACTAGGGGGGGAGGGATAGCTCAGTGGCGTGAGCATTGGCCTGCTAAACCCAGGGTTGTGAGTTCAATCCTTGAGGGGGCCACTTAGGGAACTGGGGTAAAAATCTGTCTGGGGATTGGTCCTGCTTTGAGCAGGGGGTTGGACTAGATGACCTCCTGAGGTCCCTTCCAACCCTGATATTCTATGATTGTACAAGCAAAGATTACATTGTCCCTATGCATTAGGGCCAGCAACAGTCATGACTGCATCAACTTAATGGGGTAGGGAAAAGATTCTTGACCTGTTAGTATTAGAACTTTTTAAGAGGTTGCTGTTCTCATTATCCTCTTGGCTACTGCAAATGTTCCAGGTATGTACAAGTAGCAAGCACATGCTGTGCGGCCAAACGTTCTAGATACGTCTAGGGAGAAGGCACCTGCTGTGCTACCAAAGGTTCTAGGCGCATCCAGGCACAAGGCACTTGCTGTGCTTTCGAATGTTCTAGGTGTGTCCAGATACAAGGTACTCGTTGTGCTGCCAAGCATTAAGTACAGCCAGGTAGAAGGCATCCGCTGTGCTGCCAAATGTGTTACGTATGTCCAGGTACAATGTACTTGGTGTGCTGTCAAGTGTACTTGGTATGTCAAGAGAGAATACAGCTGCTGTGCTGCCTGACGTTGTAGGTACGTTTTGGGTAAAAGGCACCTGTTGGGCTGTCAAAGGTTGTAGGTACATACAGGTAGAATGTACCTGCTAGGCTGTCAAAAGCTCTAGGGACATATAGGTAGAAGGCACCTGTTGGGCTGTCAAAGGCTCTAAGTATGTCCACATAGAAGACATCTGGAGTGTTGCCAAGTGCCTTTGGGACAAGCTGACTTTCTATTGCCTTGAGTGGAGTCTTCCCTGAGGGATAGCTGCCGAGCAAGAACAAAGGGGCCATCAGAGTTGGAGGTAATAAAATTCCGATCTCCATGATCCATTTTGCTTAGCCAGAAAAGGCTGTGAGCCGCAGAATAAAAGCGCAGCTCCATCGGAAGCTGAGTGAAGGTTTTTGAGGAACAGCGCGGTGATGGAGGCCAGCGCTGGAGAATGGCCTGGCGGGGGCTGTGCAGAATCTCTGTGGACAAAGCAGAGTTGAGCTAATGCCAGTACTTTGGCAGGGTGTTTGGGGTGAGGTGGGGTTGGGTTGGCTTCCCTCAGAAGAGTCACGGACAACACCGTATTTCTGGTAGCCAAACCCTGCGAGAGCCTGAAATGTGCAATTTGGGCTTTTTACCCTGGCTGACAGCGGGGAAACTCCTTAAATCGTTGGGGCCTGGTCTCTGTTGGGCCCAGAGGCAGAAACCCTTCTGAGGTGCCGAGATTTCATGCAGCGTGCGTTCCGGGCTAGGGGTTGGTTGTTTTTTCAGGCTTGTCATTATACAAGTCTCTTAAGTCAGGAGACCTCGCCTCACTCTCCAAAAACCTGAGTTTAGCCGGCACCGAGGAGAGGGTGGGAGAGGAAAACCTGTGAATAACTGAATCTGCACGTCTGGCAGTTTCCCCAGTGGTCTTGCTCTCTGGTGTGGATTAGGCAGCATCTGTCAACCGCAAGTGAAGGACTTAGTACATTGGTTCTTTAAACTCCCTCAGCAGGCTGTGGGGAGAGGGAAGGGCATGTTCAGCTTTTCACTCTCATGCCTTAGGTCCTAGAAACACTGTGAATAGAAGCCACCTTGTGCCAGGTAAATCCACTTCTGGGGTTTCCTCTTTTCCTCCTGCTCCGGCCCGTTTACTCTCTGCTAGTGGCTCAGCAATACCTTGCAAGCTACCCCATGCTCAGCCAGGCTTAACGGAACAGGACGTTGTTGGTGGGCCCCGCAGTCGTACATGGAGTCGGGGCTCGCAGGCTCTTGAGGCTGGTGGGATTCCATTAGCCATGTAACAAGGTGCGCTCAGTTCTGGTCCCAGCGGGAGTTTAACCCACGACACGGCAGCGCTACCCGGCCCTCTGTCTTTCCTCTTTCCTGACCCTCCTCCCCTCCTGCCTCAGCATTCCAGGACTCCTCCTAACCAAACGCTTTCTCCTGGCTGTCTTCAAGCCCAGGGGCGACTCCCTGATTCTGAGGGACTTGAAGACTCCTCCCAAGGAGAACTGTGTCCAGTCAGAGACCGAGTCCCTCCTGGAAAAGGAGAGGAGGTCGAGCCTGGAGGCCGTCCCCACCGTGCATCACTCATCCCTGAAACGAGAGCCTCCCTTCTTGGGCCCACCGGGGTCTGACGCTGCTTGGGGCTTGGTTCGGCCTCGCCCCGGGGGCAACCTCCGCAGGGTCTCCTCCTTGGACAACTTTGAGGTCACCAGGTCTGAGTTCCAGAGAAAATTCAGGGAGAGGAGGGCGAACTCAGGTAGGGGAAAAGCACAAGCAGATGTGTCGCTACCAATGGGGAGGTGGTGCAGAGCTCTTCCAGCAGATGGGCCCTCCGCTCTGAGGGTCCCTGGGGGAATTTTTCACCCTACGTTGCCTTAAAGAAGCAGCGATAAGGAGTGTGTCTCCCGGAGCATAAACTGACTCCAGTATGTTTCCAAGTGCGGGGATCTCTGGATGTGTCTTGGCCTGTAGATCCAGCTGTGTCTCTACGGCCCAGTTCCTGAAATGAATTTAGGTGCCTAACTCCCACTGACACCAATGGGAGTTGAAATCATTGAAACCAATGGGAGTTAGGCACCGGTATGCCTTTGATCTGGGTCTGTGTATGAAAGTCTCTGAGTGAACCGGTCTGCGCTGTAAATCCGCCATGTCCAAACCCCTCCAGGCTCTCTCCTGACTCCGGTCCCACTGGTGGAGGGGTGAGTTTAGATGAGTGAATACGGTAGCTATAATACATGTTCTGAGGATGAGAGACCAAGTATTTAATCCGGAAACCCCAGCCCCATGGTCACGGCGTGTCATTGACCTTTGCAGAGGATACTGAATCGGGAGGCGTTGCAGATTTCATGAAAAATGTCGAGGTTTTGAAATTTATTTCGTTCTGCATTGGAACCAAACATGAGAGAGCCAGGCCGGCACAGCCAATCGCTCAGTGGTTCGGGCACTCACCTGGCAGCTGATTCGGAGCGGGACCTTGATACTGGATCCCCCACCTGCCAGGCGTGTGCCCTGACCACTGCTATGGGTCTCTCTCTATCACACCAAAATGTCATTGAAGCCGGCACATTTCTGCCGTGAGTTTTGGGTTTGGCAAATTGGCATTTTCTGACTTAAAAAAAAAGACATTTAACTGAAAAATGTCCAACCGGCTCTACTGCCGACATGCAGAGAGGACAGAGAAATAATCCGGAGAGACCTTTAAAGGTGGGTGAAAGAGACTGAATTCAGAAAAAAAAAATGCAAAGTGAATACACTGGGGCGGAAATCCTTCATCATACAGTCCCGCGATGGGAGATCGAGAGCTGGGGAGCAGTAAAGCTGAGAAAGGCCTCGGGCCTACGTTTTCAATAGCTCAGAGACACATTTTCAAGTGCTCAGCACCCACAATTGAGCTCTTCAGAAAATCCAGCTCCAGTTTCCATTTAGGCCCCTAAATGAGGGCCAGATTTGCTCCACTGCCCCCAGCGTGACCCCTGCATCTAGACTTTCAGAAGAACTCAGTGTGCTGAGCAGGTGTGAAAATCTCCCCACTAAAGGTGGGATTTTCCTAAGCCATCAGCATTGGCCTTCCTCTGTTCCCATTGACATCAGTGGGAGCTTCACCATTGATTTCACGGGGACTAAGGGTAGGGCAGTCCCACCCTTGTTTTGTTCTTTTGGCCCTCTGGCCCCTTGAGGTGAGAGTGGACAATAAAATAGACCGGAGTTTGCAATGTCTCAAAGAAGGCCAGTGCACTTTGGGGCGGCGGCAGAGATATCATGCATTGAGGCAGGGAAGAAGTAGTCCTCCTCTGTAAGACTCTGGGACAAATGCATTTCTGGGCTCCTCGTTCTCATAAGAAAGATACTGTCCAGTAGGTTGGGGACCAGAGAAAAGAAACGAAAACGGTCAGCAGGCTGGAGGGATTGATTGAGGAGGAAAACTGTAATGACCTGAATATGTGCCGCTTGGCTAAGCCGCCGTCAGGCAGGGGAACATGAGCGTCCACAGATATTGAAAGGTTGTAAACCCCAAGGAGCTGGGGAATGAGACTAGCTGGGAGAACAGGGGGTGGAATGAAGGAAGGTTGACATGTAAGCTGTTTATATTGGAAAACTTGAGGGTGTTTTAGGGAAAATGTCCTGCTGGTGAGATCACTGGGCTGGAGAATCATGTCCCAGGGAAAGGGGTAGAAGAAGCCTTAATGCCTGGAACGTTAAACTAGACCAGAAGAACGCTAGAAAATCCCCCACAGGGAACCATCCTGCCCTGGCCCATAGGCAAAACAGTCTTAAGAGTCTTGCCTGATGGGCCCTGTCTATAATTTTAGGGCTTTGACAGTTTTCTGGATTCTGTTTACGTTCATATCCTGCCACCGCCGCGTCGGCCACCGCCAATGGTGGCTATCAGAATCAAGGCCAATTGGCCTATGCTTCGGCAGTGACTAGGGATTTAGGTGCTGCCGCTTTTCGGCACCAAGCTTGAGACGCCTCAGAGGGGCTTGGTTTTTAGGGGGTGGGTGCTCAGCTCTTTCTGAAAACCAAGCCCCTTTCAAGCGCCTTAAGTTGGGCACCCAAGATCATGAGTGGCTTTGGAGAATTTTGGCCTTTGGGTTTGGGTACCAATGCAAAATGGGCCCGTCGCAATAGCGTTGTATCTCCAGATAGGTTCTCTCAGACGGCTTATCCTGGGCTCCCTTGTCCACAGAGACTAGGACGCTGATGGTTAATCGTTGTTTTTGACGCCCTCCTGAGTGTTTCTCTCCTTCTTGGGTTTGTTCCAGAGGCCTCCCAAGTCAAGGCCAACCCCCAGAACTCCACCTCGGACTCGGACCTCACGAGGTACCGCACCATCAGCCAGATCCCGCAGTTCACCCTCAACTTTGTGGAGTTCAACCTGGAGAAGCACCGCTCGGGCTCCACCACTGAGATCGAGATCATCGCGCCCCACAAGGTGACGGAGCGCACGCAGAACGTCACCGAGAAAGTCACACAGGTACGGGGGGTGAGGGGGAGTTCTCCCCAGGCCAGGGGCACTCCTGGGAGGTGGAGGGAAAGATCATGCTAATGCATGGGGCAGGGTGGGGGGCGTGCGTACTAATTTGTGGAGCAGATTTGGCGGGGAGGGGCAGATCACATGAGTTTGTGGAGCTGAGCGAAAATTGGAATTTCTGTCCCACAAGAAATTGCAATATTTTGATAACTTTTTTTTTTTTCTTTTGTGGGTCAAACTGTTGAAATCTTGAGATTTTTCACGGAACGAAAAGTTCCGAAAAGTGTTGAGTTGGAAATGGCCAAATGTCACGTTGGGGTCAAGTTAACGTTAAAGGGCATTTCCCTACAAGGGCCGCACTGCCTCCTGGGAGGTGTGGCTCAGGTCCCCATTCTCCCTTGTGGGGTGGGCTGGCCTCCCTGGCCAGACTACGTGTCCCGTGGGGAGAAGTCGGGATCCTGGGGGCCGAGTGAGGCCGTTCCCCATCGTCCATAGCATGGTGGGGACACTTGTGATCGTTTGTGGAACAGCCACAGGGCAGAGGGAGATTCATGCATTTCATGGAGCGGCTGAGCGGGGACAGGGAAGGGTCCCTGCATGCTTGGTATTCAGTTCCATGTCTCCTCTCCGGCACGGCCGGGGCTGGGGACGGACACACCCACCTGGCAGTGTTTCACTCTTTCAGTCCATGCTTTTCTCTTTGCACCTGGGCTCCCCCATGGCTGCCCCACTGAAAGCTGTTCCCAGTGCCCGTGTGGGCTCAGTGCATGCACGTGGCTCTCCAGAGGGCTTCCCTCCCTTATGGCAGAGAACAAGAGATCGTGGCCAAGATGGGCTCCAGACATGTTCCGACATGTTTTTAACCCCAGAAAACCAGCATCTGCTGGATGCTGGCCATGACGCTGTCTGTCTGTCCAACCCAGGGGGGCCGCTCTAGGGCAAACCCCACAGTGACTAGGAGCCACCATGCGGGGGAGGTCGCGCTGTGGGGTTGCTGTCACTGTTTGGGGGTACAGTCACTAGGGCTGGATTGTCATTGCCCTCCTCAGCCGTGCAGGGGAATCACGGGGAGGTCCATTCTCCCTTACTCCTCTGCTCGGATTGTGGCTACTACTTGCCTTTCACCCTCCACTACAAGCCTCTGAGGGGTGGGGCCGTACGGCAGAGAGGGGCGGGGACTAGGTGGAGCCCTGGCCCTTGGTTCCACCCCCTTATTTATTAGCCAGAGTAGCTGGTGGGCATCTTTAAGGCGGGAGCGGCTTGAGCAAAGGGTTGAAGTAATTCCTCCTCCCCCAGAGCAAGGGGGGAGCAGGGAAACAATGGGGCAGATGGCACAGTTACGATCTAGCCCATAATAATCACCATCTTCCCCCCTCCTCCCTCTCTCTCATCTGCTCGGTTGCTTGCTGGGAGGTGTTTGGGCTCAGGCCAGGCACAGAACAGCTCAGCCCGAGCCTTTGGGCCCGGCCCGGCCCGGCCCTCCACTGGTGATCAGTGGAGCTTTGGCGAAGGGAGTGAGCCAGATCCTCAGCTGGCGTAAGGGGCGGTGCTCCATGGAAACCTTTGCAGGTTGGTGCCAGCTGCGAGGCTCTCCCTTGCTGTTGGCTGGCACGACACCGTCGTTCTTTCCTGGCACCAACAAGCTGTTCATCTTGGCAGCAACCCTCCACGACAAGAGTGTCGTTTTTCCTGGGTGAAAACTCTTGTTTGTGTCTCAGCAGCAGTGGGAGCGGGCAGGGAGAGCCGCATGGTGTGTGTGTGTGTGTGTGTGTGTGTGTGTGTGTGTGTGTGTGTGTG